TATATACATATATATACACACACACACACACACACACACACACACACACACACAGAAATATGTGTGTGCTCACATAAAGTTGAGGGAGAAGCCATATCTAGAAGTGACAATGTTATAAACAGTCATGCAGAATGAGTCACTGTTAGCACACATGTGTTGACACATGCACAACAAAACCCCTTTTAAGTCAATGACAGCTCTCTGCAGCTAAGATTCATCTGAATGGAGTGCCACAAAAATAGCTTCCTCAAGTACATTAAAGATGGTTTGGTGATTCAGTACCTGAACCATTGAGTGGATTAAAGAGACACTCTTTTATTTCTCAAACACAAGAAAGCAGCTTCTAGCTCTTTTGAGACTCCAATGAAATCTTTCTCATAAGGTTTCACTCTACCCTTAATTCAAAGAGGAGTTTTATAGAGCTAATTAATGACCAAATGCAGTCCACTGAAGGCCACTTTTCCTTCAGGGAAGGTATCTTTGTTCAAATGAACAAACTGAAAAGATCCCTGCATTAGATAGACATTGCATGCTTTCTGTTTTTCTGAGCGTTTCAAATTTACATAGAAATGCTCTGATTCTTCAGGAGTATTATGTCCCCTCTTGTTTTGTAATATAATAAATATAGAGTATACATCTCTTTATTTTATATATTCAAGATGTTGAAGCTTATAGCTCCAGAGTATATTTTCAGCGCATATTTGCCTTTTATTATATTTTGGAATCTATTTTGTAATAATGAGAGAAATAAACAAAGTTTGAGTTTGTGTTATAGATCTGATCGGTCTTGCTTACATGAGGAGTCTCCAGCACCACAATGGCCTCTAACTCAGCTAGAGTAGGATGAGCTGAAATGTCAGTTAAAGTGATGATTAGTTTCAGTATGACAAAATAAGTGCCTAGTACTCCTGAATGCTGGGTTGGTACATTATCTGCCTGTAAACTCTTTCAGGCACGATACTCTTTTCATGTCATTGTGTGTATCTGCATACAGACGTCATAAGTGGGTGTTGGACTGGCTGGCTTTAATGCCCTTTATCATGCTAAACTAAATTGGATTAAAATATGGACATGCTGAGTACGCACTGTTCTAATGAAGGACATCTTATTCACATTTGGCAGCGTAAAATTGCCTTTTTTTTTACATCGCACAGGAAACAAAATGAGGTCACGCTTTTTATTCCCTTTCAAGGAAAAGGCTTTGCTTGTCACTAAAGAGGGCCCAGTTGCAGAAATGAAGCAAAGATGGTGGATGGAATGATTGCCAGAAGTTTGTTTTGTCTGCAGATCTGGTCCTAAATTGAAGTTGAAGACTTTATAATAATAGTTTTGCCTTTAAATATTATCACAGTTGACAGACTTGGGATTAGAAGCCAGGATGTCTGGGCTGAAAAACCCTATACTTAACCAGTTAAGCTAAACTCACATAGGCAGGTTTATGGTGTTTATGCATGGGCTGAATATTGTATGTAGAACATTGTCTAGCACTTTATACTATATTAATTCATTCATTCATTCATTCATTCATTCATTCATTCATTCATTCATTCATCCATCCATCCATTCATCCTATTAACGGTGGTGTTTTGCTTTGAAGATTTGTTCAAAGTCACCATAGAAGCTGCATTTTGCAATTGCATTATGCACTTATTGCTCTTTGACATTTTTCTGAAATTTGGGACAAACTATGTGTAACTTTAAAAGTCCTCTAAGACACATGGGACAATTTATACTGTAAATGTATTTTATCTGTGTCAGTCAGCCAGCCAAGCAGGCACTGTCTAATGTAAAGCCCTGTCAGTGACTGCTCCCTACACAGGTATTGCTGGAGAGCTGAAAAACTGTACTGATGGGAAGCGTTGAAGGTATATACTTGTTCCTCTTTGCCCCCGGCAATGCTCTTTTGCTCCCTAGTCCTGTGAACTCTTCAACTCTACATGAACTAGGAACAGGGGAACATCGACGAGATGAGAGAGGCCCAGGGAGTGAGAGAAAGATGGGTAGAAGAGCTTGATTGAGCTACTCTTTCAAGTCTGGATTTACTCCACTGATCCTGCCCTAGTACACACACCAGCACACACACACACACACACACACACACACACACACACAAATAGACATGCCCAGAAAAATGCTTTCACGTGCATGCACAGACACACACACACTGAATAAAATGCTCCACTTATCCCTGGAGTCCTTCGTTAAGGCCCTCAAACGGAGCCGGCAGCAGAGCCCCACTGCACTTCAGGTAACCTCCACTCTGATACTTGGTGAACTGTATGCATAAACCTTGAATGGCCCATTCCATTTCCCCTTGCTGTCCCTAGAAGGACTGCAGAGCAGTAATGTTTGGCCTGTTGCTGGGCACTGGCCTGTGATTGACATAAGACCTTGGCCAATTGTGAGCGGCACAAAACCTGACTTGTGTATATGACCAGGTTATGAACAGGTTGTTACTGTCACAAATAAGAATCAGCTCTCAGCTGATTCTTGCATAAACAAAGACCCGGTTTGGTCCAAATCCTTGAATTATCTCCATATGTTATTAATGATCTTCTGCTGAGTTGTACTTCCCAAGTTAAACACAGCTTGGGTAGCAAACACAGAAATTCTTCTAATAAGTCTTGGCCTGGCAACTGTATGCATAATGGGTGCCACATATCTACATGAATTTGGATCAAACTGGCCTTTAGCCGAAGAGCAGTTTTTCTATAATACTCATTAAAATGGCAAACATGACTTCTGTGTGAGTTAAAATATTTTAGTATTTTCACTTTTGGCAGCACTCCTTTTTAATGATTTGAAACCAGGTATTTTTATATTTGACAAAAGAAAGAAAATGCCTGTTGTGACTTCGCTGATTAAGATATGGCCACAATGTTTCACCAGAGGTTGTGCATCAGGAGTTTCCTCAAAATGATGTAAAACAGATTTGCTTTTTAATTAACAAAAATGTTATTTAAAAAATGTATAAACTTACATTGAAATCTAAACACTGTTACCAAGTGAGGGTATGATGGAGGAAGAATTGGTGTTGTCCAGAGAAAAAAATTTAGTTTATGTAGCCCTTCATTCTTTCTTTAAAGCATTTTGCGGTCCGATAAGAACTCGACAAGCTGTCTTCCTAATGTGGTTAAAGGTACAGTCAGCAATTCTAATCCAATACACTTTTTGTCAAATTCAGTGAAAATGTTCTCACGGTCTGCTAGTGGCAC